GAAAGAGAAGTATTGGAAAGATAGTCCTGCTTTCAGGAAAGAGCAAGGCTCTTCTTGGAGAGCAAGGAAACTCAGCACCTATGTTCTGGAAAGACTGAAAAGCAATTTGAGAGATTTAAATCAAGAAGTAGAAAGAGACACAGAAAAGCAGTTGTATCGGCTAATGTTTCCCCACCAGAAAGCCTCCCCTCATGCTGACCTTCAGTTTAGAAGCAGGTACAAGTGCCAGGAAAACTGGAAGAGGGATCTATGGGGTTATGGTCTGTGTGGCAGAGGCTGCTGGTGGTCCCCAAGATCTGAGCCCTCTTGCTTTCAGACAGCATTGCTAAACCACTGTTCCTGGTCTTTTTTTCAGGGAGTAGCAACGCTATGACTGAGCTACGGGCAGTGGAACTGAAGTGACGGGATATGAGTCACCTTTCGTCCTGGACCATAACAACCTCCCAGGAGCAATTCTCCCATGCAGAATGGAGACAGCTCCCAGGATCCAGATGAGGGTGCCACCACTAGATTGAAGGAGACTTGATCTCTGTAGGACTGTGGGAGGAAATTTCCCTTTTGAACTACATTGGAAATGAACTTTTACTGGGTTAATTCATAGAGATTTGGGGGTTGTTTGACAAGCACTTGGCCCTATTGATCAATACTTTGGTCACCTGGTGGGAAGGGTCGACTCACTGGAAAAGACCCTGAGCCTGGGAAAGATTGAATGCAGGAGGAGAAGAGGGCAGCAGAGGATGAGATGGTTGGATGGCATCACCGACTCCATGGACATGAATCTGAGCAAACTCCGGGGGAGAGTGAAAGGGAAGCCTGGTGCACTGCAGTCCATGGGGTTGCAAAGAGTCAGACACAACTTAGCAACTGAACAACAACTATTGACCTTGATATTAGAGGGTTCACCTCAGATCTCCCTCTTTCCAGAAGTCCTCCCAAACCATTCTAGTCCACAGGGACTTTAGAACTGATAGTATGTACTACCTGACTCTTTAAACCTGATGTTTAATCATATACTTTGTGTGTTATGATTTTACCAAATATTACTCAAACTATGTTTCATGGAACACTACCATTCAAGATAGTGCTGCTAGGTATTTCATGAAAAGGGGGTTCCATGGGTAAATAAATTTAAGGAACATTAGGTTGAATGGGTTTCATTTTTATAGGATTTTCCAAAGCCTCTAGTGAGATAATGGAACTTATAGATGATTAAAATGAGAATCTAGAATACAGACTTTATTCCTTGATCCTGAGAATTTTTTTCAAAGACTATAATTTGAGAACTAGGCAATGAATTTATTTCAAGCTGATACTGTGTTCAAAGTATAAAATCCAGTGCATACAGTTCTGCAGCATCAGTATGAAAAACTTGACCAGGAGAAACAGGTCAGGAGGAAGGCTTTAGGGAAGCCAAGATATGTGAGCTGGGCCTTAAAAGATGAAAAGACAGGTTTGCCAGCAGGCAAAGATGTGAGAGGATAAGAAAAAATAACCCAGGGAAATGAAATGACATGAACAGGAGCACAGAGGCTGGGAGACATCAGAGGAAGGAGAGTCCATTTTAGAAACGGGGGATCAAACAGACCCATCTGGGAGACTTCCCTGGTGACCCAGTGGCTAAGACTCCGTGTTCCCAATGCAGGGGGCCTCTCAGTTCGATCCCTGGTCAGGGCACTAGACCTCACAAGACCCAAAGCGACCAAATTAATTAATGATCTAAAAAACAAAAACTAGACCTATTTGAATTCCGCCTGGCAGACTGTATCCTAGCGCCCTCTGGCATCCATTTGGGAAGATTGGACACCCCTCCCCGCTCTACCCCACGACCGAAGGCCTGTGGAGGGCAGGAGGAACCAGGTCTCACTAATCATGTCCACCCCTTTCCTCTTCACAGCCTGGGATGAGGTCCATATACATGTGAGGCCAGACAGCCCTCTGGTCTGAGTTGTCACCTCTGAAAATGAGAAAATCCAATCCTCCCAGGGAGGTTATAACACTGAAATTTTGAACATGCGGGTAAAGCACTCAGCACAGTGTCTGGCATGCAGTCCTCACTGGAGAAACATTAGCTGTGAATATTTATTTGCTTAATCAATGTTTGTGGAGGGAAGGAGGGTGGCGGGGGAGGCAGGAGAGAACCGGGAGAAGAAGGCAGGTGAGCTGGCCCCTTCCCCAGTCCCGCCTGGCCGACGCCGAGAGGCAGGTCCCCTCTACCCTGCATTCGGGAACAAGTCTTCCTTGGCCTCCTTTCTCAAAGGGGCTGTTTTGAAGGCCCTGAAGTGAGAAGCTGGGCCAGGCGTCAGGGCGCACTGCCAAGGGCAGGGGGTCATCCTGAACACCAGGGGACCGAGAGGGACAGAGGGTCCTTTCGGGAAGAACACCCGAACCACTCCCAGTGGCGAGGCCAGGCCCTGCGGGGAAGCACCCTGGAGGGGTTACTCTGTCCTTGGCCCGCGAGTTCCCCGGATCTGATGAGAAGTCACAGAAAGGAACACAGAGAGCCTGGCCTCCTCGCCAGGGGGACTGTGTACCTGATAAATTGTATTTTTATGGTAAAAAGCGTGACACGAAGAGGCCAGGGAGCCAAAGACAGGGGCTGGCTCTGTAAAGAAAATGAATTCCAGGGAGTATTAAGACCAGCCCCGACCGCCTCTGAGGAGACACGAAGGTAAGGAGCAGGAACGGGCCGTTTCTGAGGACTGGCCTCTTTCCCGCTGCTCCGAGGGAGCCAGCACGTGGCCGACGGAAGGGACACGGAGCCCGGCGGGAGGCGGGGAGCTTGGGGAGAGGGGAAAGCATCCCAGGGATGGGCTCAGGGTGGCCGGACAGCATTTCTGAGAAACGGAGTCTTTGGAGATGCTCGTCTCCCTGGGCAGGAGGCAAAGTGGGTCTGCCCTAGACGTGTCACAGGGCGTGTAGAGCATCTCCTTCTGTGCCCCACCTTCCCCGGGCTCCACTCAGCCCTTTCTACCCAGGAAGATGGGACGAGATTCCAAATGCTGCAACTTTACCTCTAGCTTTTGCAGGGAACAGGTGTTTAAGTCATAGATATGAGAAGCCTGAAATCCAGTTCTATCCTTAAATAATTTCACAAATAAGAATCAAAGAAGCTCTGGGAAGTTCACATAAAGATGCACAGGCTGGAGGATTCACTGCCGAATTATCCTAAAACAATGAAACCTCCTACAGGCTTCCTGTTGGAGGTGGATTAGTATCCTGACTTAAAATATGTATATTCATGCTGTGTGTGTGCATGCTCAGTCGTGCCCGACTCTTTGTGACCCCACAGACAGTAGCCCACCGGGCTCCTCTGTCCAAGGGATTTCCCAGATAAGAATACTGGAGTGGGTTGTCATTTCCTACTATCGGGGATTGTCCCGACCCAGGGATCAAACCCAAGTCTCCTGCATCTCCTGCACTTGGCAGGCACATTCTTTACCACTGCACCACCTGGGAAGTGCCACGTGGACTCATGTGTGTCTAAATAAATTAATTAATAAAATATTGATGATTTTGGACAGTATAATAGGTGACTTTTTTGTTTTGAAGTATAGGAGCTGGGGGAAATTCACTTTTGCTTCAGCTTATAAAACACTTTCTCCGTGTTGAAAAAAAATGCAGAATAGAACCAAGAGAAAAAAGAGAAATAACTGAGATTAGGGATGATCCTCGTATTCTTCCTCATGCTTTTCTGCACTTTTGAGTCCACTCTAAGGGGTTTACTATCTGCACTGGAACAAGCAACAGCTGTTCATATTTTAAAAGGCTAGCCTGCCCACGTAGCTTGCTCTGTCTCTGTGAAAGGGCCTGAATTTCTGACACTGGTTAGACTTCTGTCCTCAGGTACTATGAGCACAGATGGAACAGTGGACGAATCCAAAGTTTAGGATGACTTAGGAAAGTCATTTACTCTTGCTGTGACTCGGTGACTCTGTCTGTATAATGGGAACATCAGCTTTGCTTACTGAAAAGAGCCTTTGTGAAGAGAAAGTTCACAACCTGCTCAGCTGTAAAGACCACATAGCTGAGACGGAGAAGAAAACAGAGTCCTGATAAAATGTTGAGGCTCTAAGCGAGTTACAGTAACCACCACCAATGAAAACAGCCTCCAAGTCGTTTAAGGATTGAGAAACCATTTGCCTGGTCGGAGAACAAATGACAGTCAACACGATGACGGCATCTCTCACCTCCAGGCTGCTCCTTCTAGAGTCCTCTGCCCTAAAAAGAAGAATAAGACTCCAACCCTGGTCCTCTACTTAAAAATACTAATGGACACAGGATACAGTCAAATGCTCTGTCTGATACATCAGGTCTTTTAAAATCTGACCATAACCCACTGCCCAGCTTCACCTCCTGACACTCCCACACCCTCACGCCTAACACCTCAACCCAGCCATTCGCCAAACACTGCTGTTGTTGTCCAGTAACTGAGTTGTTTCCGACCCTTGGCGCCCCATGGACGTCAGCATGCCAGGCTCCCCTGTCTTTTACCATTTCCTGGAGTTTACTCAGATTCATGTCCAAATATTCCAGACACTTTCAGGACTCTGGGCCTTTGCATACGCTATTCCCTTGGCTCATAGAGCCTCTTGGCTCCTTATATGACGAGCATCTTGTTCTCAGGCTTTGAAATCCAGTTCCAGGTCACCACTCCCCACTGCCCCACTCTACCTGGTGGAGTGGTTAGTAGTTGAGTGTTGCCCAAGCACTTGATGTACACCTCTGTACAAATCAGAAATAAACGTGATTTACATATGTGCATGTGTGTTTTTGTGCATGTGTGGATACACATCCCTTACATACATATATGATAAATAAATAATAGTTTCTGGAGGGTGATCTGTATTTGCTTCAAAGATAACCATGACAATGATGATGTCTAAGTAGACACTCAGTACATGTTTGTGCTACAAAAAAACAAAGACACACTGCTCCAGACGGGGCGGAGGTGGGTGGAGGGAGGAACTCAGGGAGCCTCGTGGGCCGGGCTGTGGGCTCACCGGGTGATCTGCGTCCAGTTCGGCTCCGTAGCTGAGAATCTGATTGGCAAAGTTGTCGAGTTCCTGAATGGTTCTTGGAAACCAGGGCACTGCAACAGAGAAAGGGTAAAGGCCTGATTCACCGATGGTGAGACATGGCCAAAGGCCTCGCCAAAATCAGGAGTGGGGTCAGCTCCAATGAGGCCAGCCCATGGTGCTGGCAAGTGGGGCCCCAGATAACCCCCAAAACCTATTCAAAAGTCAAATCTCATTTTCCTCGGAAACCAATTCTATATATTTTTTGGCTTATTCAACACTGAAGTTGAATAAGCCAGTAACAAAACCTGATGATAGCTTAAGCGTATATCATGATGGTTTGATAGACATACACATTGTGAGAGGATTCCCCCCATCTGGTTAATTAACACATCCATCACCACACATATTTATCTTTTGAGGGTTCTATTCTCTTCACAAATTTCAACAATACAGTACAGAGTTATTAACTACAGTCACCATGTTTTACATTAGATCCTCAGACCTGATCCATCTGTTTGGGGGGCCATTCCACACGGCATGTGGGATCTTAGTTCTGTCACCAGGGATTGAACCCATGCCCCCTGCATGGGAAGTACAGAGTCTTAACCACTGAACCATTGGGGAAGTCTCAGACCTCATTCATCTTATAGCTGAAAAGTTTGTACCCTTTTACCAGCCTCTCCCTATTTCCCCACCATTAAGCCCCTGGTAACCAGTTACCTACTTTATGCTTCTATGAGTTTACCTTTTTTTTCCTCTCTTTTTGAAGATTCTACATATAACTGATACCATTCAGTATGTATTTTTTTCTACCTCACTTATTTCACTTAAAACATGTTCCCTCACCTATTTCTTTTCCTGGATATTTTCTCTGAATGATCTCAAAATTCATCTCTTGTCATGGCACAGAGGAGTGGTATTTGATGGTTTACTTTAGCAGCAGAATATTTCATGTGATATATATTCCAGATATATTCTGGAATAGGCATTCTATGCATGCCAAGTTGCTTCAATCATGTCTGACTCTGCAACCCTATGGACTGTAGCCCACCAGGCTCCTCTGTCCATGGGATTCTCCAGGCAAGAATACTGGAGTGGGTTGCCATGCCCTCCTCCAGGGCATCTTCCCAACCCAGGGACTGAAACCACATCTCTTATGTCTCCTGCATTGACAAGTGGGTTCTTTACCACCAGGCTTCCCTGATAGCTCAGTTGGTAAAGAATCACCTGCAATGCAGGAGACCCCAGTTCAATTCCTGGGTCAGAAAGATCCACTGGAGAAGGGATAGGCTACCCACTGCAGTATTCGTGGGCTTCCCTTGTGGCTCAGCTGGTAAAGAATCTGCCTGCACTGCAGGAGAACTGGGTTTGATCCCTGGGTTGGGAAGATCCCCTAGAGAAGGGAAAGGCTACCCACTCCAGTATTCTGGCCTGGAGAATTCCATGGACTGTACAGTCCATGGGGTCAGAAAGAGTCGGACACCGCTGAGCAGCTCTCACTTTCACTTTCTTTCAGCACCACCTGGGAAGCCTGTTCTATTGTAAGCACCAGTAAGCCCAAGAACCCTCCTCTTGCGACCCATCTTCCTTTCATGTATCTCCCTTCCAAGGGCCTCCAGGAAACCTTGCAAAATCTTTTGATGTCACAGCCATGGTGACATGGAATAAACACCATCCAGCAGTTTGGGATTTGACGATGCTCTGCAGTACCTAAAAACCCACGGGCTTGCTCTGAAGCAGTAGCAATACAGTGGGAGAGAAGGTGGGGTCTGAATGGTGTGACCCACGTGACCGGGTCCTGCAGAGCAGGTGGGGGCACCCAGATCTCGGTGGCCTTCAAGAAGGAAGGCACACTGAGAGTGGAACTGTCCCAGGAATGAATGAACAGAGATGAGGACATTTTGGATTGTAAGTTCCATGAAGTCAGGAACCAGACTGCATTGTAGTTCTATGTGCAGAGAGGGAAAGGAGGGAGGAAATTTTAGGGGAAAAGATGCTAAACTTGCAGCCAGTTGGGTCTACCTTTTAGAACCCAGGCTCCAGCTGCCTACTCACCCTCTCTGTGTCTTAGTCCCAACTCTGTAAAAATAGCATCAACAACAATAGATAGCATCAACAACAATAGGAAGCATCGTAAACATATTTTGAGGTTTTATCATATGCCAGGAATTGTCCTTAGCATTTTTGGTGAAATATGTCCTTTAATCTGGGGACTGCTGTGAGGCTGTGAGGAGTAAATGAGAATGTAGGCATAGGATCCAGCCCAGCGGCAGGAGGATAAAAGGTAGCTTTCCACTGCTTACAGGTTTCTGTCTGGCCTTGGTCAAGTCAGGCAGGAAAGAACATGCGTGCCATCTAGTGGTCATACTGGGGAACTGTCACCCATGATCTACACATTAGAGCATGACAGGAAACAGCTGCATTCTATCTGATGATTCTACAAGATGATTATGTGAACACAAGTAATAAAGGTCCACTTAACAGCCTTCTTTCCATAGATCTAAGATGCTAATCTTTCTTCCCCCTGTGTTAGTAATAAAAACTAAATAACACTGAGAATCATTCCAAATACTTTACTTAGTATTTGTACTATTGGTGGGTACTATTGTGTGTGTGTATTATTGGTGTGGGTACTATTGTATGTGTGGGTACTATTGGTGGGTACTATTCAATGAGTTGGATCATCAAAAAAGCAAGAGAGTTCCAGAAAAAACATCTACTTCTGCTTTATTGACTATGCCAAAGCCCTGTATGGATCACAACAAACTGTGGAAAATCTTCAAGAGATGGAAATACCAGACCACCTGACCTGCCTCTTGAGAAACCTGTATGCAGGTCAGGAAACAACAGTTAGAACTGGACTTGGAACAACAGACTGGTTCCAAATCGGGAAAGGAGTACGTCAAGGCTGTATACTGTCACCCTGCTTATTTAACTTATATGCAGAGTACATCATGAGAAATACTGGACTGGAGGAAGCACAAGCTGGAATCAAGATTGCAGGGAGAAATATCAATAACCTCAGATATACAGATGACACCACCTTTATGTCAGGAAGTGAAGAGGAACTAAAGAGCCTCTTGATGAAAGTGAAAGAGGATAGTGAAAAAGTTGGCTTAACACTCCACATTCAGAAAACTAAAATCATGGCATCTGGCTCCATCACTTCATGGCAAATAGATGGGGAAGCAATGGAAACAGTGAGAGACTTTATTTTCTTGGGCTCCAAAATCACTGCAGATGGTGGTTGCAGCCATGAAATTAAAATTGCTCCTTGGAAGAAAAGCTATGACCAACCTAGATAGCATATTCAAAAGCAGAGACATTACTTCGCCAACAAAAGTCCATCTAATCAAAGTTGTGGTTTTTCCAGTAGTCATGTATGGATGTGAGAGTTGGACTATAAAGAAAGTTGAGCATTGAAGAATTAATGCTTTTGAACTGTGGTGTTGGAGAAGACTCTTGAGAGTCCCTTGGACTGCAAGGAGATCCAACCAGTCCATCCTAAAGGAAATCAGTCCTGAATATTCATTGTAAAGACTGATGCTGAAGCTGAAACTCAAATCCTTTGGCCACCTGATGCAAAGAACCGACTTATTTGAAAAGACCCTGATGCTGGGAAAGATTGAAGGCGGGAGGAGAAAGGGAACAAGAAAGGATGAGATGGTTGGATGGCATCACTGACTCAATGGACATGAGTTTGAGTAAGCTCCGGGAGTTGGTGATGGACAAGGAGGCCTGGCGTGCTGCAGTCCGTGGGGTCGCAAAGAGTCGAACACAACTGAGCAACTAAACTGACTGAACTGATTGTGTGTGTGTTAATTGTTCAGTTGTGTCCAATTCTTTGAGACCCCATGGACTATAGGCTACCAGGCTCCCCTGTCCATGGAATTCTCCAGGCAAAAATACTGGAGAGGGTTGTCATTCCCTTTTCCAGGGGATCTTCCTGACCCGGGGATTGAACCTTGCATTGCAGGTGGATTCTTTACTGTCTGAGCCACAAGGGAAACCTGGGATACTACTGGTCTCCCCATATTGAAAATGAGAAAGCCAGGATACAGAGAGGTTAAGTGATAAACCCAAATACACACATTGCTAGGAAACAGTGGGTTCAAGATTCAAACCTGGGCCTGGATGATGTTGTGGTCTCAGGTCTGGACCACAAAACCCCTCCTGCCAGGTACGGGGGTGGGGAGCACAGCGGTTGGGAGAGGGGTTGGCTCTGGAGCCTGACTGCCTGGTTTTCTTTACAGGGTCCCACCTGGAGGTCTGCATGCCCCCAAGCCCAGCCCACTTCTCAAGGTGGGCCCCCTACAACAGTAATAACAGGAACAGACACTGTGGCAGTCATTCCAGCTAAGACTCAGAGAGCTCTTGTTCCATGCCAGGCGCTGTCCTAAACACTACATACCCTTCCTCACCCAATTCTCAAAGCAGCCCCGTGAGTTTGGTGTTATTATCACCCCCATTTTCAGAAGGGGAAAGCGAGGGGCAGGGAGGATAAGCCCCTCCACAGACCCCCGCTGTCCCAGATGCTAGACTTTGGAGTCTGGGGTGACTCAGCCCCACAGTCAGCTCACTGAAGGTGAGACCTGACCTCCCACTTTGTCACTTGAATTCTCTCCAGGCTTTTCTTTCTCCTTGAATCCAGGGCCTTGCATGAAGGATCTCTGTTGTCAGCACTGAAAATGGGGCCTGTTCCCTCCACGGGTCTGGGAGGGCATGAGGAAGAATGCCCTGTTGTAGTTGGTCAGGACTCAGGAGCCCTGAGACCCCTCTAAGACCCTCTAAGACCCTCTAAGACCCTGCCTGCAAGGATATACAATGGAAAAAAGACAACCTCTTTAACAAGTGGTGCTGGGAAAACTGGTCAACCACCTGTAAAAGAATGAAACTAGAACACTTTCTAACACCATACACAAAAATAAACTCAAAATGGATTAAAGATCTAAATGTAAGACCAGAAACTATAAAACTCCTAGAGGAGAACATAGGCAGAACACTCTCCGACATAAATCACAGCAGGATCCTCTATGACCCACATCCCAGAATTTTAGAAACAAAAGCAAAA